AAACAAGTGCCAGTAGGAAAAAGAACAAGAGGAAGACCGAAGCTGAGATACGTAGAACAAATAGAAAATGATATAACAACATTAAAAATTAAAAACTGGAAGAAAAAAGCACGAAACAGGTCAGAATGGAGAAGAATCCTTGAACAGGCCAAGACCCAAAAAGGGTTGTCGAGCCAGTGATGATGATGTTGAACACGTGCGAAATCAATCTTCAATAAAACTTGTAAAAATGCGATATCTTTTAATCAGACCGTCCTATCGATAAAATCAGGATTCATTTTAAAAGTAAAGAAAGCAGCTTCCGTATGCAATTTTTGTATTTTTCCGCATATGAACTCACTTTTTATAAAAGTGTTAAATAAATAAACGTGCCGCGATTTTTGCCATTTTTTAAAATTCTCGTAAGATCAATACAATTTATCACTTTCATTGACCGGTTACTATTGAGTTGTCATTATTAGAGCCTATTCTTTAAAACCCATAGCATGAAATTTTAGTTTTGAGTTTTGGCAACAAATACGAGACATTTGAAATAAGCTTCAAAAACGCTGAATTACAAACTTTCACATTACAAACGGTCTAAAACGTTAAAAACTGCTCTTTTTTAATTACATTAGTACATTTTTCAAAAGTAAACAACTTCTGCTATAAATTTCACTCAAAACCATCTCAAAACCTGTGTTTGTTAGTCATATTTCAAATGCCTCATATTTATTACCAAAACTCAAAATTGAAAGATAAGTTTTGAAGATTGGTCAATGATCAATAAAAATTTCGCTAGGACCGGTCAATGAAAGTGATACATTTTATTGATTTCACAAGAATTATAAAAAATGGCAAAAATCATGCATCGTTTATTTAATGAACTCATTTGAAACTGACTTCATTTTCGGCAAAATACAAACACACAAAAATACTAAGTCGCCCTGATAAAAAGATATCGGATTGTTATCATCAATTAGTTATACAAATAAAAATATAAATATCAATGAGTCAATACAAATTTTATTTAACATTGATTTCGAGCGCGTAATTGGCATTCAAAAACATCGTTCGCTTCAAGAGTGTTTCTGAGAGAACGGTTTATTCTACATAAAAAGTGCTAATAACTATTTTTGTTTAAAATTATCTCAACTATATATTTTATTTGAACGTTTTTGTCTACGCCGTACTGATTCTTGGTAAATATATTTTTTCCGTTTTTTCCCCTACGAAGAGAAGTTTTGGCTAGGAGCCCGGGGGCAAAAGTAGTATTCTTTTGCATCTTTTTTGGGGTCCCAAAATTAACATTCTAGACAAAATTCAGCTTGTTCGTATAATTTTTGGAAGTCAAATCTCTAACGACTGGACTAAAAAACTACAAAACTACAAAACTATTTACTTAACGTATATTAAATTTTTCGTTGTGTTGCCAGGCGTGAGAATGAATAAATGCTAAAGTAGTACTAAGTGGATGGTTGGCCTACACGTCAACATACTGCGTACAATTGGCTATGAGAAACAATGTTTTTTTTTATATTCAGTCCACAAACATTCAAGGTTTAGTCTTGTGATTTGTTTATTGTCATGGCGGATACAAGACGAATTGGATAATAAATTTGTAGCGGTATGATTTGCCTACCACATTGGGTATCACTTGTAGGGGGTTGAAAGCTGGGATTGACCAATTATTGAGCTGGAGATATGGTAAGCAAACAAACCGAAACGTGTGCGAACAGCCACGCTTGTTTTGGGTGGAGAGCTGGGTCGTAGGTAAGTGAATATAAGAGAGACTAGAAGGGGTAACTATAAAGGAAGAAATAAAAAACTGCTTACATATATTTCCTGGGCAACACACACAAGAAAACTCCTAAACTATTTGGAAAGGACGCTGTTTAAAAGAATCTTCTTGCTGAATGGAAAGAAAGACTTTTCTTTCCTAAAAAATATGAAAGGGTGAAAATCTTTTTAAAAGAAACAATTCTACAATTCCTGGTTCAGAGAGAAACATTACATATTTATTAGTACTTCACATCAACAGTTATTACAAATAATAACAAAATTTGTCAACAAAACTTACAATGGGGCTTAACGATTTACAACAAGCTCCAGACGTTGGGGAGACTTATAGGAATTTAAATTATTATTAAAATGAAAATATCTAGATTTTTTAACAGAACTTACATTGAGGTTAACCTTTAAACGAAACAATTCAAATTTATGTTATGTACCAAATGTCCGAAAAGAATAAGACTGACTGTCATATGTCGAAATGAACTAGCAAACTTTTTTGAAATATTAATTAAATTTTAAAATTAATTGCATTTAAAAGAAGACTAATATAGTCCAGGCTGTGAGGCCGCTCCCGTTGGGAAAATGTTTCTGATTCGGTTTCTTCGCGGATTCCGGTTCAAAAATGTCCCCTTTAAACAAATCTGAAGGGTGCCGGGCGAAATTTTTGGGCAGAAATTGTTTAAACAATTTTTTTAAACAGTCCAAATATAATTTTTTTTTTAATCTGGATAACTTTTTTTTTAGGTTTTTTGGGCCATTTTAAACAAAAAAAGTCTCCTGTCATTTTTCTCTAAAGTTGATAGTTTTCGAGATATAAGCGATTTAAAGTCTGAAAACGCGAAAATACGCATTTTTGAGGCTTAAAAACACATATGTAAATTATTATTTTTGAGGTTACCAAGTGTCTAAATCAAAGTTTAAACATTCAACTTCAAGATTGTGAAGAGTAATCGGGGCTTATTTTAATTTAGACCGTTGTTTTTTAATTGTTAAATATGCGCGTACACTCTATTTTTCAGCCGCCGCGGCGCGTGCGCCTCTATCGTACTTATGCATAGTTTACATATACACTTACGCAAAAAAACCCGAACAAATCCTTGAAGTTTATTAACATAGTTTTTTCCATAATTTATTTATGTAGGTATTAATTATTGTCATTGGGCTAATTAAATAAATCAATCATCGCAATGTAACAACCGTATATAGTTTTTTTTGAAACCCCAAAATATCGAAAAATAACTTTTTTCTCATTTACTGTAAAAAGTAAACAAACATGGAACAGCATTTGAAGTTTGACGTAGATCCATAAGACAGAGAAATGTAAACAACCGTTGCCATTTATAAATAGTTTTCAGTGCTTCTACATATAAAATAATTGATTGATATGTATTATACGCTATTATTAAATGATAATGCACACTTGATATTTTGATTACAATTAAATATATTAATATAACCAATAAATTATTATTTTGGTTTGATAGCACCTGTAGAGTATAAAATACGGAGTAATATTTTCAGCGACTCGCGAATAAGAAATTTTAAAACAAAACGTGACAACAGTTGAAGGTGCTCAGAATAAGACCTATTAAAATAATTTTGACTTCACAATTTTATGTAAATAACTGAGTCCATCTGTGTTTATACGTCCATGATTCAATCCATCAACAACGGCCATTGTCGATAGCCAGCGATTACTTGGAGAACTCTTCGGCAGAAATATCGTTTAGTAATGCAACTTACTTGTCGTCAGTTAGTTTCATTTACTTATCATCATTACTATATCATCATAACATTGGAACATTCGTTCGAATTAATTGGTTCAATACATCTCGATCACTCGATCACTATTGACGTTCTATTTCTCGATTGGAAGCGTCGGTCAATTCACTATTTAGCGATGGCATTCCTAACTTGGCATTCACTTATAGATTTTGAGTGTCTGGACTGACACAAATTCGATGTAAAATGTCATCTGACATATCATCCTTGTACTTCACATCCTTTGTTTAGCTTTTACTATACATCTTTATAAACAAACAGTTATACAGAGGTTATAAAAGGTAAAAAAGTTATACATAAACAGATTTGCTTTCATACGCCAAATGTGTAACCAGTTTTGTATTTTGTCAAAAGCGATTTGTAAGCCACTGAAAGCAGCTTCAGGCCTGGTATGTGATACCATAATAAGTGTCATCAGCATAAGTTTCAACTACATGGTTGGCCCCATTATGCTTCGTTGCAGTACTCCTGCTGAGTTAGGAAAAATTTCGAAGAAGGTTGCGTTTATCTTGACTTAGAATAATTACTATTTTATTGGAAATAACCCAGAATTAAAGTTTAAAATAAGTTTATTGATCTTTCAATTTCCACTACGGAAATCTTTCTCAAAATACAAATAATAATGTATATAATACAATACAATACAATAATACAATATAAAATTTTCCATAGCAATCAATCGACATTTCGGCAGGAAACCCTTGCGTTTGTCAAGATTCTAAAATGTATATATATATATATATATATATATATATATATATATATATATATATATATATATATATATATATATATATATATATATATATATATATATATATATATATATATATATATTAAATCAGTAAAATGTAAATAATAAAATAGATAATATAGTTACATTATTCAAATTTTAAAATATTATTTAAATTTTAAAAATACAGAAAACATAGTATGAAGCTTCGCGCTAGTCTACAGAACCGTCTACTGGTCCACCTCCTTTTTAAATTTACTATAATTATAAGACCCTGTCACAATAATCCTACTCTCTGGGATTGGGAACATTGAGCACTACCCATAAGTATGATTACATAAACAAAAGTAGAAGTAGTAATAATATTTTCTTTTAATTTAGAAAATTATATTCAGTATTTTATTGAATATGATTTTCTTTTATATCAACTCTGTTTAGCATGTAATATAATTAATATATTGTCTAATTATATATTTTTTATTTCAGGCATGAACATATCCAAGAAAAAGACGGCAATTCAATCATTATCAGCAATACTAATGCACACATATCAGGAATATCCATACTGTGATAATCCACAGAATCTTATCTGATTAGACCTGTGTTATTTTATCAAAAGATGTTTACACTTAACTACAGATAAAGCTCACTCGGAATACAGTGTCATCTAGTCAACGTTAGTGTCGCGTAGTTTTAGTAATTTATCGATAAAATGGGAATGCTGTACAGGAAGAGATCTCTGCTTTTAAAATTAGCAGTTATAGTAACGACCGCCTGGTTCACGATAGCCTTTTTACTCTATACAGACAATAGCTCTCCTCAATCCGACGTGGTGGCGCTCCCTCTAGATGGTGGACACATCAGAAAAAACGAAGTAGTGCCCGAAAGAGTGATTCCGTTTCAAGAATCGCGAAGGACTTCGTCCAAAAGTGTAAATAAAAACAATAATAATTTTGACTATAACGGTGTGCTTGTGCCGCCTGATAACGTGGCAGGAGAGATGGGAAAACCAGTTGTGTTGCCTACGAATTTATCAGGTAAGCTGTTTATATTTTTTACATAATATTCATTTGTTTGTATTGCAATAACAAATGATTTAATATAATAAATATAAAGTTTTTAAATGTGAGCATGGTTGGCAGCCACGTCGTTTTAAAACTAAAGACTCGTCATATAAGCGCTTATCTGATAACAATAAACGAAAAAATATATTTTAAAATACATAAACTAATTAAAATTTTACCTTTTATTAATTTTTTTTTAAATTGTTATTTTTTTAAATTGTACCAGAAAATATTTGCCGTTATTGTTACATATTTCATTTGTACATTGTAGGAAATAATATATGTAGAAAACAACTTATTTATAACACTAAGTTCTATGATATAGCTTTACTAAATAATCCACAACCAGTTACGTACAAAAAATACATTTTTTTATTTTAAATAATATGAATACACTTAATCTACAAGTTAAATCAGCATTTTTCCTTTAAACTAATTTTTGTAAGATTTTTTGTAAGCTAAATGTCATCTGGTCCATCCTAGCTTTTTTTGACATGAAATGCCCACTTCTTTGTGGTGGTTACATAGCACAACACTTACTCTGCTTTTTACTAACGGCTCACGTCCTTGTCGTATCTACAATATACCGGGTGGTCCAATAAGCCAATAATCTCTCGGCTATATATCAGAAACTATTCATGTTATAACTTGAGGAGAAAAAATTCCTTAGTAAAAGTGGACAAGAGAAATCGCTGGAATCAAGTTTCTGGGTTAACCGCTAGGGGTCGTAACCTGTGAAGAAACATTTGAAAGCCAGTTTTTTGTAAAATATGCCCAATTATACCAAATTTTAAATTACTAAACTAGAAAGAGGCCTAAATTCCGCACAAAGTTGTTCATATAAGTTTGGTTTGGATCAACCGATCTTAACGAAATTAGTGTCATTAGAAAGAGTGTGGATGATTTAATTTATATCTACTATAAAACAATTGCATTTAGTTTTAATTGTCGTGGGTAGAGGGTACTTTCGAATAGAAAAAATAAAAATTTGTTTTTCTTCAAAATGTTTAATGGAAACACCTATTTATTGTAAATTATAATGTAACTGGATTAAATTTGTAACAAAATGGCGCAAACCGCATGTTAATAGCTTTTGTCGAACTCGAGATATGAATAAAAACGAATAAATATAAGTAAGTATAGTATTGTCTCACCCTGTATTATAAATTAAATTAAAAAATAAGGCGCAAACCGCATGTTCATAGCTTTTGTCGATTTTGCAATATGAATAAAAAGGCATGTAAGTATGGTATTGACTCACCCTTTATTATAACTTAAAATTAAATATGTGAAAGATCATACAAATATCTCGATCGTTAAAACTTAATGTCCAATTAAATGTTCAAATTGTTTTCCATCGTTGTCCACACAAAGATGTAATCTTGTCGTCTTATGTCGTCTCGCGTGGTTGGTCGAGTTTGGCACACTAAGTCCTTCAATCTTCCTCACAGATAAAAGTCCAGACATGTTAAGTCTGGAGATCTAGCTGGCCATGAAAATATACTTCCCCATCCAATCCATTTATTTGGATAACTTCCATACAAATAATCTCGACGTCGTCTGGAAAAGTGCGCCGTTATGTTGTAATATCATATATCTTCTTGGTTGTAAGGAAATATCTGCCAATAAAAGAGGCAATTGATTTTCTAGAACATCCAAATATGTTTTGCCATTTAACGTTCTATCAAAGAAATATGGACCTACGATCTTTCCATCAACTATACCACACCAAACATTAAGATTCCATCTACCTTGAACCTGCACCTCATGTATCCAAAGCGGATTTTCTCCAGTCCAATAATGCATATTATGCAGATTACCACCACCCGCACTATTAAACGTAGCCTCGTCTGTCCACAAAATCTTTGACATGATATGCGGTTGTTCTTCTAGCAGACCTAACATCCAATTGCAATAATGAGAGCTTAAAGCCTTGCATCAAAATATCTCTCATGTAAAGCTTGCTGGAGAACTACATGATAAGGATACAGTCTAAAAAACATAACAACAAATATTGGTAAAAAAGACACTACTATATTTACTAAAACTCAAAAAATCTTGAAAAATCAACAATTGTTTTACAAGATAAATCGTGCATAAGTATTTTTAAGAAACGGATAAAAGCATAAAAGCGCCGTGTTGTCGTTTTTATTGGAATATTAAAATAACAGTTGAATCTAAAGTTTAAAGGGAATTCCAAGTTTCTGACCTAAACGTTCACTTCATAATATGAAAAACCAACCTCTGATGTTTTAAAATCCTTAGAACAGTAGTTTTGGGTATGTTTAATTCTATAGAGATGTGCCGACTACTTATATGTGGATTCTGTTAAAATAAAGCAAGAAAATTGATTGAATTATCTTCGGTCACACCTCTACTACGTTGTTTAAAACAAGGACGATGAAAAGTACCAGTTTCTCTTAATCTTCTTGCCTTTCTTTTAAATACTTCTTTGCCATAATGTCTCCAGTCAGGATATCTTACAGAATATATTATAAGCGATGCAATAGCGGCATTTTGGTGACATTCGAAATAAACTCCAATCATATCATACATTCTACATTTGATATACTCATCACGAATTATTATTACTGATAATTAATTACTAATATTACCACTTATATTATCTATTGAAAAAAGTGCAATCTTCAATTCGAATTATAATATAATACTTCTTAACAATGTTTTGGCTGCTGTCAATAAATAAACAATATGAACTCCTCGTTAAATTCATTGTCGTAGCCTACTTAGTTTCGAAAAAACTATTTTTAATTATATGAAATAACAATGGTCAAAATAGGTATTAACATTAAGATTCTACTGTATTAAAAAAACTTGAAAGTACCTAGTGACTTATTTTTTAATTTAATTTATAATACAGGGTGAGACAATACTATACTTACTTATATTTATTCGTTTTTATTCATATCTCGAGTTCGACAAAAGCTATTAACATGCGGTTTGCGCCATTTTGTTCCGAATTCAATCCAGTTTCATTATAATGTACAATAAATAGGTATTTTCATTAAACATTTTAAAGAAAAACAAATTTTAATTTTTTCTATTTGAAAGTACCCTGTACCTATGACAATTAAAACTAAATACAATTATTTTACAGTAGATGTAAATTAATTTATCCACACTCTGTCTAATGACACAAATTTCGTTAAAATCGTTTGATGCAAACCAAAGGTATAGGTATTTATCGACAAATACTTCCCCACTCTCCCCCACCCTTTATTTGAAAAAATAAAAAAAGTACTTGAATAACTTTGTGCGGAATTTAGGCCTCTTTCTAGTTTACTTATTTAACACTTGATATAGTGAGGCATATTTCACAAAAAACTGATTTTCAAATTTTTCTTCACAGGTTACGCCCCCTAGCGGTTAACCCAGAAACTTGAAAATATCTTCCAGCGATTCTCTTGGCCACTTTTACTAAGGAATTTTTTCTCTTAAAGTTATAACATGAATAGTTTCTGATATATAGCCGAGAGATCGGCTTATTGGACTTGTAACGATAATATTTTGCCTACCACAGGGGGCATTAATACAGGGGGTAGAAAATTGGTGGAAGAAACTATTGGGGTGGAGATAGGGTAAGCAAAATAATCGCTACTGATGCGAACGGACACTCAGGGTTTCGTAGGAGAGCTGGGGTCGTGGATAAATAAAAGATAAGGGCATTGGAATGGGGGAACTACAAAAAAATGAAATAAAGGGCTCTTGGGATAAACGAAATAAAAATAAACAAGAAACACCTCAAGGAATTTAATATAGGGCGCCACTTGAGGTGCCTAATTATGCCTATTACAACCACTAGTTGTAACTAGGGAAATAATTAGAAAACAAAATCAAAACATAAAAAACATATCTTTTTCAAATAAACTCAAAAAGGGTTACTCAAAAAAAAAATAAACAAAAATGTTAAGACAACAAAATTTTACCTTTAATTATGTGTACCACAAACAGTTACAAAACAAATGATAATTACAAAAAACAAAATTGAAATCATATAGATCTTTCAATGCAGTTTAGATTAAGGTCAACTTAAAAAAAAACAAAACAAATTCAAAACTTATGGTTAGTTATGTGTATAAGAATAATTATTATGACAGCCAAATCCTAATTATTATAATTTTACTTATTACAAATTTTCCAACTTGTCATGAAAGCAATTATTAATGATAAATGTCTATTTTTCACTTTAAAAAAAATTTAACAAAAAAAAGTACCTGACTTCACTAAATATTAGTTTTGGGGCTGGAACTGGATTTCTAAACGCTGCAAATAACACAAATGCGTCTCCAAGCTTCAGAATGGTCTGGAATGACCAGGGACAAACAAATAGACGAAGGAAGTTGAAGTTCGGCTGGATCATCGGGCTTCGGGTAAAAAAAAATTGCAAACTTCTAAACTTGGCTTTTCAAAACTTCATTGAAAATACGATGGCCTCTTATATCGTTGTAACACCTTACAAATCTTCCATTTAGGACATATTACAACACATATAACTTTCTAGAAACAGGATCTGTCGGCTTTCTGAAGATTACACGCCGAGCTCTTAACTGCCACCACACTACACATTTTCCCATGACAAAAGACAAAAAAAAACGAAAAAACATTACGAATTTGAAGAAAAATTCGGACTCCAATAAAACTACAAACGCTCTTGACAGCGGTTTCACCGAGAGTGACGAAATTAAAAATTTGTTCGCTTAACTTGAAAATCAACGAACTGCTGAAATAGCAAAACCAACGAACGACGTAGATATCCTTTGAAACGCATTTACATGAAAAGAAATCGCCGCAGTAAAATAAACAACAATTAAATGGATTTATTACTCTACGACGTTAGAATGATTGAAAACACTTTTCGAAAGATACGAACTAAAAAACAGAAAACATTCTTCGTTTTATTAAGACGATTTCATATACGAGGCGACTTTAAATATACTTCAAAGAATCAATCA